AGGGAAACCCTTTATTTTGTTGTTGTTTTTCCTTTCAGGGCTGCCTTTGCTGCCCTCAGTTTAGCTTCCCTTTTCCTCCCCAAGGCTGTGGGGTGAGACCGGGCTCCGGAGGAGGGGAAATTGTTCGGAGGGAGTGGCAAAGTGTGCCTGGGACAGTATTTCCCTCGCTTTATTCGTTTTTGTGCCCTCAGCAGGGAAGCGCCTCCTGTGTTCACCAAAAACCCCGCTTGTTAAAGGTTGGCCTAAATGCTATAGGTTCCCGTAAGTCATCTGGCCAGTTCTGTAGGGTTGGATTTACGTATTTCCTTTTTTTACTTTAATGTAATTGGTAAGCCAGCGCTAAGCACAAGATTTGAGCAACTGAGCTGGGCGGGTGACCCTTGCGAGGGAGGGAAGGCTCCGAGTAAAACCATCAATAGCTGAACTTGAGAGGAAGATGTTGGGCTCCGAGTAAAACTATCAGTAATTAAACAAAGTTAAACTTGAGAGGAAAACTTTGATGTTCCTCCATAGGCTTTCTCTTTGTTTGGGTTTGTGTGTTGGTTTGGTTTTTGGTGGTTTTTTTGGTGGAGTGTTTAGTTTGTTGGTTGGTTTTTTTGTCGTGTTTTTTTTTATCTTGAACAGAAGCAGCACACTAAGGTAAAACTGGGAAGCTACAGCCTGGCCATGACCACCAACTGTGTGTGAGGCTGCCTGGAAGTTTTGTGTATACGGAACACAAAAATGGAGGGAAAGTCGGAATGTAATGCACAGGATTGAATAAGATTAAAGACTTCAGATGACCTCAGCTTCACTGCCGAGCTAGTTACTGGGAGGGGAAAAGGATGAGAAAATTACAAATTGGATGTTATGATGCAATTGAAAAGGCAACAGGTGTAATTTAGAGTGCTAATCCTTGGTGTAAAATACTTTAAACAACCCAAAGACCCTTTGTGTGCAGAGCAGCGTGGCCGAGAGAGGAACGAAGGGAAACAAAACCATTACTTTAACCTCGCTGTTTAGAGAAGCTTTATCTGACTTGTTATGTAGAACAGTTATTGTAATAGTTGTGATAGATGCCCGGGGAGGAGATTTGCCTCTTTCTTCACCCAAGTCCTGCTCGGGCTGGAGGTGGGAACAGGCCTGCCAGGCCTTGGCTGGACATTTCCCTGCCAGGAGCTGGACTTCAGTTTTAAGGCTCAGCTTGACAGGCTGCTGGGGCGTCTCATTTAAACTGTATTTCTTTATCTTAAAGGGTTGGTCTAGATGGCATTTGACATCCCCTCCAGCCTGGTATTCTATGATTCTGTGACCAGGAGGTGGTGCTGGGGCACCGCTTCAGCGCAGGACGGCTGGGCGGTGGAACGGAGCGACTTTTCCTCCTTTCCCTTCTTGCACGCAGACGAGTCCCTGACAAAGGGGACTCAGATTTTTAAAAATGACTTAGTTGAGAAAGTTGTCAATCTTTCTTCAAAATGTAGAAGAGAATAAACAGTCTTTGGTCAAAAATTCTTCCCGGTGTTGCCCAGCAAATGGTGCTAGTCGGTCCCAGAGTTAGAGCTGCAAAGAACGTGCTGTCCCCTCCAGCTAGAAAACTACCTCAGGGAACTGGACTTGGATTTGGTAATTATGAGGTTTGGCCGCTGTAATACAGCGCACCCAGAAGTAAAACTTGTGGCGCTGAAAAGCTGAGGCTCCTTGAAAGTGCAGCTGTCTGCCTAGTCAGTGTGCTGGGCTCAAATGCTTATCCCTGCTGTACAGCGTGAGGAAAAAGGACAGGTCACTGCGCTGAGGCTGAAACCCAGGCTTTTCAGAGGTCTCTTGCTGTCACAGTAGGCTCCTTTGCCTTTCGGTATGAGGAGGTCACAGAGCTATTGGCCCACCAGAAATGGTCTTTATTTTGCATCAGACCTGGGGGACATTGAGTCATGCAGAAGAGCACGATAGGGAGGTGTGTTTTAAATTAAGCAAAACCAACAACAACAAAAAAACACCTTTGAGTACTATTTTTTTGTTTCTGCAGTGTTTGGATTTGGTTTGGGTTTGTTTTTTTTTCCCAAGCTACTTTTTTCAACAGAGACTAAACAGCACCAACCAGTAAATCTCAATTCTGGCCCCTGCAGGTTAAGAAAGCGTACCGGCAGAAGGCCCTAACGTGTCACCCGGATAAGAACCCGGACAATCCCCGAGCAGGTAAGGTGGGGCTCTGCATCTTGCTCTTCAGGTTCGTCTTCACATGTGCAGACTCCTGGAAGTGGCTCTGCTTAACTCTAGCTTGGCCTTTGGGTGTAATTAAAGGAATGCCTGGGTATGTGTCCTGTGAAGGAAAGATATGCAGGACTTAGAGCTATTTTCGTCACTGTTAGAGAGCTCTGGTTTTTTAAGGCTGAGTGCATACTCATTGGTTTGGGAAATGTCGGTGATAGGTCAGTGCTGACCTTGTACTTGCACCTCACAAAATCTTCCCACACGGTGCTTGAAACCCAGAGCTTTGGCCGTGTTGTCCCCGGTGTTTACGGGCTGGTCCCTGTTTTAATTTGTACCTCTCTCAGTCAAAACTTCAGTAGCAAGCTCATAAATCAATATTGTCTCTGGGCAGTGCCTGTTGTTGGAGGCAAGGCCCTGACTCTGGGGAGCTCAGTATTGCACCTGTGCTGTTGGTGAGATCTGGCTTCTGCAGCTCCTTTGGTTTTAAGTTTCACAGCCACAGGTAGCAGTGGTAGCTGGGAGGATGCTGTTCCTCAGGACATGTCAAAATAAACATTGTTCTGCATCTGGCATTTCCAGTTTGATGGGCTACAGTCTTACAGATTGAAACTTTAGAACTGTAGTGCAGAGAAAAACTTTTCCACCAGGAAAAAAAATAAAAATGGCAGCACTGAGAGGAAAGCTGAGGGCTCTGATATCTGCAGGGGGCTGAGAAGTGATCTGTAGTGTGTGGGGAGGCCTCCAGCTTACGTGTGTAACCTTCCAGGAAGAGGGTCAGCAATGTTGATGTGAAATGCAAAGTTTGAATCTCGAGCTGAGAAGCTGTTGAAGTGAAAGGGGTAACTTGTTCCTGATGGTGTGTTCTGGGCTGGCTGCAGCTGGGTAATGCATTTCTGTCAATGGGTTCTGTCAAATTCACGTTTTCAAGATTTCTGTTGAAGCGAAATAGTCCGAGGTTTTGTTTCTTTATTTGTGCTGAATTTCTTGTATCGTGTCGCCCTTTGAGCTGCGGGGGTTCTGGCTGTCGGTTGGCTTACGAACGCTCTGGAGAGATGATTCTTCTTTCTGATGTTCTGCAGGTCTCTGCCGTAAGGGATTGTCTCTCCTGGTTCACCTCCAGGCCACTAGCATGGTTTTACTGGTCTTACCCTTTTCTCTTCTAATTCCCAGCGGAAGTCTTCCACCAGCTGTCGCAGGCCTTGGCAGTGCTCACGGATGCAGCAGCGAGGGGAAGCATGCCCGCCTCGCGGTGGGGTTGGGGTTGCGCAGCGTTCCCCTCTGCCAGCGCGCTGGAGGGGGAGCAGAAACTCTCTTCTTTCTGCTTGAGGCTTCCTGAATGCAAGTCTTGTCTGGCAGTCCCTGTAATTCTCTGTGAGATCAAATAGTGGGTGTCTGATAAGAACCTGGACAAATGTTCTTTTTCTGATTTGATGTGCTGGGAGCAGCTCTTGTCCATTTACCGTCTTTAATAATGTGTTAGGCTGGGACATAGCCTGTTGAAAAAAATAAGTGATAACCGCCACTCATTCAGGGGTGCGTTAAATTCACATGACAACGGTACGTTTGCAGTTCCCTCCAAGTTAAGGTCTGACAAATAAATAATACCTGGACGTGATTGCTGAGGCTGAAAAGCCTTTCTTTCTGTGGGGCAGAAGACACGTGTAAACCAGAAGTCTGAATCATAGCCACGATCTTGTCCTTTGGCTGCAGGAGCTTTGCAGGCTCCCAGATGTGGCGTGGACTCTGCTCTCGGTGCGAGGAGGCTCACTGGTCAAGGCCTGAAAGCAGCCTGGGCGTGTGATGGGAAAGAATGAGAACAAAATAAAAATGAGCAAGTAACTCTATCCAGATAAACGAAGGAGAGAAGGCATGTTAAAGTTTTGGATTATGAGATTTAGAAACATACAGTAACTCTTCTCTTTTCAAACGTTGCCAAAACTTAGAGTCCCCCCTCCGAGGGGCAGTTAATGCCTCTGGCATCCACGAACTTTTTTGCTTCTATGTTTTAAAAAGAAAAAGTGTTGAGCAAACCCTTCCCGTGTAGCTTTTCTAGTTTATAAAGCAAGAGCGATGCCCTCCTGCGCAACTATTCTTCAAGTAATATTTGAGCAATTGTGCTGGTCTGAGCTGTTCCTCCTGCAGCAAGGTTCTGGGTAGGCTGATGAGCAGATTCTGAGCTGCTTTAAGCAGGTGCCGGTGGAATTGCCAGTTTGCTCCAGTTCTTAAGTGTCTGTAGTGCTTTTGCGTTATTGCTGCTGAAGAGTTCTGATGCTCTTTGATCTCGTCTAGTACCTATCTTGTGAATAAATCTTTCTTATGAAATAGACCTTTTTAATTGCAAACCTTTGCATTAAACCAAACCTGATCTGCAACCAGTGTCCCTAAAGCTACTCTTTGGCGTGTTCAGGAAACCAAAATATTCTTCCCACCTCTGAAGATGGGTCAGACTTTCTCTCCAGTACCCATTGCAGTTATTCCTGTACTTCCACACCCTTTCACACTCCATCTGGAGATCCTTGGGTGTCTTCTCATGGTTTCAGGATATTTGTGTTAACTTCCAGCACTATTATGGGGAATGCTAACAGGGAACAGAAAATGCTTCACCTCTGCTTACAGTGTTTCAGTATCTGGTCTCACCTCTATTCACAGCTTTTCATTTTGTCTCTTCCACTTTGTATAATTTCACACTGTTGTGTTGGTTCTTTGACAGGCGGCCTATGACAAAGTGAGAAAAGCAAAGAAGCAAGCTGCAGAGAGGACACAAAAACTTGATGAGAAGCGAAAGAAAGTCAAGCTTGGTAATGACATCAAAACTTCTTTTTTTTTTATTTGTTTTTTCCCTCTTGGCTCAAAGTCTTCATTAGCTGGGTGTCTGCATTTCTTCTGCCTCTGGAATTCACCATCAATGGATCTGCTGTCCATCTGTGCTGGCTGTGGTTTCTTTATGGCCCGTACGATATCGTGGCCATCGGAAACCTCCGGGACAATCCTGCTCCTGGAGGGGTTGAGGGGTGTTAGTGGCTGTTCAGACTGTGGGTACATTGATGTGCCTGGGCAGAGGAGGGGTAGCAGAGCTGTCCGGACTCTACTTTGCAGTTGGTGTAGGTGTAGCCAAGTTTATGATCTTTCCACCCACCTCAGGTCAGTAGCAAAAAAATTCTCTGGATTGTTTTGTTTCTTTCTCTGCAGATCTTGAAGCCAGAGAACGAGACGCCCAGGCCCGTGAGAGTGAAGAGGAGGAGATCAGGATAACAAGATCATTAGAACAAGAAGTAATGACAAATTCCTAATTTTTCTGCTTCTTTGAGAAGAATTGCTCGAAGTCTTTACAGTCGTAATGAAAACCGAGTGATGAGATGCAGGGAGCCTACGTATAGCAATCCTTCAGCCTTTTGGGTTAATGGGCTCTATGAATCACAGAGAGGGATATTGCAGCAGCCTGGCAAACGTGTCAGTGTAAGGATTTTATATTTTGTCTGCCCTTTTTCTCTTGCATAGCAGGCGATAGCAACAGCCAATGGGTTCCTTGCTGCCTGGTAGGGGCTGCATCACCAGGAACATGAAGAGTCTAATTTTACGAGCGGATTTAGCAGGAGGGTTGCCCCAGGAGATGGGTACAAGACTGCTCTCCTTGGCAGTCTTTAGCTGGCATGAACCAGCCATAGAACTGTGCCCTCAGAGGTGTGTGCTGTCTTACCTTTGCTGTAGATCATACGCCTGCGTGAAGAAGGCTCCCGTCAGCTTGAGGAGCAGCAGAGACTCATTCTGGAACAGATCCGGCTTGAAAAGGAGCAGCACGTCCAAGGTGAGGGCAGAGGAGATTGGAGCCCTCAGCTGACCCGTGGGCTGCAGGACTCCAGCTCTCCTGTAGCAAAAGCTCACACAGAGCTGCGGGCTTCTGCCTTGCTCAGAAGGATTCTCCTTAGCACCTTCTTTGGGGATAAGTCAAAAGACAAGTGTTTCTGTGGGGTTTCTTTCTTACGTGTGCTTTCTCCTCTTTAGGCAAGCAAGCAAGAAACTTAGCAGAAGGCAGCATAACTCCTAAACTCAAAGTAAGACATCCTCGTGGGCTGCGTTTTGATACAAACTGGTAGAGCATTATGCAGCTTTGGAAAACAGAAGGGACACTTCAACTCTGCTGAATGGGCTTGTCCCTTTGTACAGTGGAGGTGGATTTCCTCTGTCTAATGTGCATTGTGCGTGTGAACAGCTCCCGTCCTTGCCTTTAAAATACCTTTCCTCCCTCACCCTTTTCTCTACTTACTGGTCTAGATTTTTAAACCTGAAATTGAGTTGTCTCTGCTTTAAACACAGGGAAACATCTACTTATTACACTGATAAGCCTTTAAGTATGTTTTCAAGTATGAACTTCTTTATTTCAGTGAGCAACGTTTTCTCCCTGTTCCCCAAATCTTTTGTTCCCTTTGCCCATTGTGATGTTGAAATCACCGTCTTGGCAGTTCTGAGAGTTGAGCTGTAAATAGGAAACTTGATTAGTGTGCAGGTGGCAGGAGCTGCATTGGGCAAGGCAACGTGTTCAGATGGGCAAAATTAACTTGTTGTGTTTATTTCCCAGCTCAGATGGAAATGCAGGAAGGAAGATGAGACGAGAGGAGGATACTCAAAAGATGTTCTCTTGCAGATCCTGCAGAAGGTCCTGTCTGACACTCCTTCCTACTTGATCTTCCCCTGCTCTCAGCGATATAGGAAAGGATTGTAAATTCTGGGAAGCTACATGTAAACTAGAGCGGCTCCTTTTCTGTTGCCCAGCTCATGTGCTGTGGCTGGAGAGCACTGGCATGATCCACGAGCTGGGGCCGGTTCCCCAGCGAGCACCTCTGTCTCGTTCCCAGCAAGAACTGCTGAGACAGAGCCACTGCAAACTCGTCCCACTGCCTGGTTCATGCCCTGTACAGAAGGGAGCCTGGCCACGTGGTTATGGTGCGCTTCTGCCTTTGCTTAGAGCTCTGCATCAGCTGCCGGGGGAAGTTCGGGGACAGGAACAGACAAGCCTTTGATGTGATTAATCCCAGCGTGCGATCTTTGTTTTCCCTTCATGCAAGTGAAGCTTTGACTCTGAGCTGAGCTATCCCCCTTGCGCTGGGGCTTGCTGGAAGCAAAGTGCGTAGCTCTGTGCCTCCCCAGAGTTATTTCCTGGGGGGACAGAAATTACGGAGGGTTGGGATCGGTGGGAGCATTACGCGAGACGGAAAGGGTGATGGCTCGAGCCTCGCGTCTGTGGAAACGTGTTTTCTCTTTGCATTTGTTCTGTAAATGAACTTGACATCTCTTATGGGTCTGGAATTGACTTCCTTTCTTTGTCTTAACAGTATGGTGATGTGCTCAATTTGTTGATCTCGAGTAGGAAGACGGGGAGTGCAGTTGTGGAATTTGCTACGGTTAAGGCCGCTGTAAGTCTGGCGGAGCCCCGGGATGCGTGGAGGAGAGGGGGTGAGCGGGGCTGCCGCGGGAAGGAAGGGTTTGCGAGCTGCCGGCCTAGACGTGCTGCCTTGTCATTAAGGCGGTGGAGAAGGGTAATAAGAGTCTAAAGGTACAGATGCATGAAGGGAGTGGCAGAGCCGGAGGCACAAAGCCCGAGCAGGTTGTACACATAAACAAGCAGGCTCCGTGTGGAAAGGGCTGAGGAGCAAGACACTGCTTTTAAAAGCAGGCACAGAGCTGTTTAATCAGCTCTCACTCACTGTGGAGATGGGCTTAATGAGTTTCAGAGGTTATATCAGGCATTTGCAGTTTGAAAGCAATCAAGGTGTCTGTATTCAGTATGAGTTTTCATAATTCATGTGGCTGTGGAAACAGAAATCATCAGTTACCCTTCATTTTAGTAGTTCTGTCACTTACACTGTACAAGAATCTCTACTCCTTGTTACCTGTTTTTTCACTCAGGTATTCAAGTAACCAGAGAAACCCCAGCATTGTCTGTGACCTGTTTATCAGAAGTGCTGGCAGTGATGTGTTCTGTCCATGCTTGATGCAGATACAGACCCTTTAAGGGAGCTTTGCATGTAGGGCAACGGTGAAATCTTCACTGTTGTGCCCTGCTTGGCTTTTACGCCAGGCTGAATTGGAAAAACTCCTGCGATTGTTAGTGACCTGTGAGGGTGCAGGGTCTGAAACTCAGATGGTAACGAGAGAATATTTTTGTTGTTAGGAGCTGGCTGTGAAGAATGAAGTTGGCCTGGTAAATAATCCTCTGAAGATTTCCTGGCTGGAGGGCCAGCCCCGGCACACCCCCAGCTCTGTCAGCGCTGCTCAGCCTAGGGCTTCCCAGGTAAGGAGGCACAGGCTGCTGCTATTTGAATCTGTTTCTGTAGCACCCTAGGTTCTACAGCATGCTTTGTATTTTTGGCAAGATACCTCGATTCCCAGCAGAGCCCACAAGAAGCTTGGAGTGAAAGTCCTGCCTTGCTGGCGAGGCTTGTCGGGCTGAAGCAGTGGCTTTAAAGGCCCTTTTGCCTGAGGAGCAGCACACCGAGAGCACAAATGGTTTGACTGACTGGGTCTGTGCACGGTCTCGCTCTCTTCCAAGTGATGTTCCTTGCTCAGCCCAAAGCCTCTAATGCCATTCTTTTGGATTTTTTTTTTTTTCTGTTTTCTGGATTATTTTGACTGTGAGAATCCTCTGGCTCATAGCTGGTTGAAATGGGGCTTCTGGAAGGTTTCTTTGGAGAGGTTTGATTACTTGCTGCATTCACAAGAGGCTGAGGTTTCAGGGCTAAAAGGAAACCTATATTCTTAGGGTCTGCAGGAGGAAGGAGAAGACAGTATCAAATTAAGGACTGTTGTAAAGGTCTTATTGTCTCTACAAGAACATTTTTTTTTTGAGTCGTCTTTACCAGCGTGGTTACTTTGAGTGCAAGGTGTTAACTCGTAGCTGCTTCTAGCTTATTTCACCAGATAATCCCTCTGGAGCTGTTGCTCTTGAATGTATTCCAGTCACAAAACGTGTGGAAGGTGGTAACATCCTGTGGGTAAAACACAGAAACCAGTGTGAGGACGTGCTGCAGCCAACTGTTGGCTCTGCGTCACCCCCTGCTCCTCTCGGCCCTCTGCAGGGGGATGTCCCTGTGTTTGCAGCGTGTTACGTTACCCTTTGCGCGACAGCGCGGAGTTTATCTTGTGCTCCACGTGTCTCCTGATCCAGTGAGTAATTCCACGGCTGTGAAGGGACCTGAGATCCTTTGGTCATCACAGTGCCAGTTCAAACTTCACGTGACACTTGTTTGCCCCGTGGTACAAAGATCAAAAAGATGTGATTGCTGAGAGGACTCTGCTCCGTGCTGTACCCATGCCCTGTGTGTGTGTGGCCATCAGCCTGCTGCGTCTTCACTGCCTAAATATTTTAGCAGCTTTTGGGATCACTCAGCACGTTCGTTCTCTTGACTTTTTGTCGGTACTTAGTTTATAGTAGATGCATTTATACATCTGAATACTTGTTAGGGCTGTAGTTTCCACTGCGGACCCGTGTTCTGTGACTGAGCAGCGTCATTTCCCAGAATCTCGGGCAAAGGCTTTTGCAGCATCATAGCCCAGGAGCCGGGCAGATCTCCGGGCATGGCGTGTGACCAGAGTCCTGCAGACACAGCAGCTCTCAGGGGTGGCCAGGGTGTTAGAAGGCAATTTGAGGGGAGGAGGAAAAGCAGAATCCAATCCAGTTTGAATATCTCTCGCTACTAGAGACTGAGAACTGACTGAACCGTATGTGAGGGGGTTCCTGGTGCCGTCAGAGCTTGGCAGTGTCTTCTTGCCTCTGTGGGTTCCAAAGCCCTGACTTTTGACGGAGTTTATCTTGGCTTGTTTCCTTGGCCGAAGCTTGTTAGTGTGGAGCTGCAGCGTCTGCCTGCTGTGAGGGATTAGCTTGGCGGAGCAGCGAGGGAGAGCGGCGAAGGGCGTTCGCGCTGTGCGGAGGTGGTGACTCACCCCAGCCCAGCTCGGCCTCCCCAGCCCCGCGTTAGTTAAGCCCTCGGGATGTGAGGGCTTGTGCCCAGCAACTCGCCTGCTTTCCCCAGAGCTGCACTGCTGAGCCTCGTCTGCCCTTTCTGCCCCTTTGATGTGTGAGCAGCTGCAGTTTCTTTGATTATGTTGCAGTCTGACTGTCCAGGCTGATCTCCAAACTGCTCTTCACCCTGCTTTTCCTACTTCCTACTGCAGACCTTCCCCAAATCTTGCTCCTGCTTCCAAAATGTGTAAAATTTGGTAAGAGCTTCTCTAGGCTGTACAGCTCCTAGCTGAATTATCCTCTTGGTGCTCAGCTGTTTGATTCTAGTCCACACAAAATGTCTCTGAGGTATCTTTTGCCATTGCCTCATCCTACTCCCTGTGTGACCCTTTCATACCCAGCCTGGCTTCCCATCCATCAGGGTCTGTGGTGTTGCTTTCAACTTGCACTAACCCCGTTCTGTTTTGAGCTGCCCTTGCTTCCTGTTTGCTGCTCCCTCTGGGTTGCTCCTATTTTTGTCTGAATCCACCCCCCTGTTTGCTCCCACTCTGCAAATGCAAGCTCCTTCCCTGCTCTGCTTCAGAAAACCAGCCCAAGACCTGCAACGTTCTCATGGCAACGCGCTCACTACTCCTCTGCCTCGGCGCTGGGTCTGCTCCCAGCCGAAGGCAGTCGGCCACCAGAGCCTCCAGATCAACGGTGGCCACACACGGACTCGTCTGGGGGGGCTTTGGAAGCAATTTCCAGGTGAAAGCAAGGCTGACTGTTGAAAAGTCATGCTGTGAGGAGGCACTAAGTTGCAAGATATGGTTTTATACTGTTTTTGTACTGCTTCTTGAGAAGTATCGGTAAAGAGTTTGCTTTTTTATATGTATATATATATAAAAAAACTTGGTTGGCTTGTTTTTTTCCTGCATGTTGTCCAGCAGTTCCTGGAGAGCTGCTGGGGCTGAGCAGGCAAGTTCTGCTGCAATTAGAGAAGCTGTGGATCAGCCAGTGTTACTCTAGGTTGCTGTTTGAGAGCAATGACTGTTTGATTGCTGCAGCTCTGAGTGGCTCAAAGCACACAGCAGCCGCACGACGCTGTGCAGAGCTCGTTTGGCTGCTCCAGAGGCACGGAACGTTTGCTAAAGTAGGGTCTTCCTTGTGTCTTTACTGGTGGGATCTCCCTGCCAGTGCTCCTTGTTCGTTTTGGACCTTTCATTCAGGCACATTAAAGTGCTGGAAAAAGCCTTCTGTCTCACACTCTTGCACCTTTCTTCCTTTGGGATTTTGGGGAGTTTGTTTTATATCATCTGACTTCACAGCCTGATGTGAATCTGGAAGGTTCGGAGCTGTCTGCACCTTTTGTGAAATGTCTCTGTAGCCAGCGTCCAAAGCTTACAGTTGTCTGTGTGCGTGCAGGTTTTATCTTTTTTTTTTTTTTTTTTTTTTTTTTTTTTTTTTTTTTAGAAAGAGCCCTAGGACCTAACCTAGTGTATGAAAAAAGCAAGATTTGGTGACTCGGTGCTTTCTGCACTGTCCTTTTAACAGTTTGCCCTGATACTGCCTAAAACGTTCTCAGCCCAGCGGAGCCCGTCCCGCTGGGCAGCTCCTGGGGTGAAGAGCCACTCGTTTCTGCACTGGGTCTTGACCTGAGCTCTCTGCCCTCTCCTCAAGGGGAGGGAAAGCACCAGCAGCTCCAGTCTTCTCCCAGGCCAGAAAAGCAGAGCCATGCTGCTTCCCCACCCTCACAAATGCCTGAAGTGCTGGAGAGGATAAGCTCGGCGCAGCAGGTGAGGGACCTGTGCTAGTGGTGCCTGGGCTTTTTCTGACTTGCTACCAATGAAATGAGGCAACAAGACACTTCCAGTCACAGACACGTTTATTCTTCCATATCTGTACAGCTGATAGATCGGGGCATGCTTCAAGCAGCAGTATCTAGAGAAATCTCTTCTCCTCTTAGCAGGATAAGTCAACAGCTGCCGCCGTATTACGAGCCTACACGGATGCTTACCTGTTTCCAGGCTGGGAGTGCCAACTGCACTTGAGTTAGAGGGGAAAGGAAACCCACAAGGGGGAAAAAAAAAAAAGAAAAAAGGAACAACTTTGATTTTTACATCCAAATGTGGTGGGAGAAGAAAAATCAGTTTCTGTCTCTTGGCCCTTGCCGTAGGTATAGCTCTGAGAGGCAATGCTGGCGTCTCCTTGCAAGCTGCCTGCTTATCCACAAGTGACCTGTGCCACAGCCCTTTCTGCCCGTGCTCCGCAGTGTCACGGCCACGTCCCCAACAAAGTCTTGCCAAACAACGCCGTGAGGAGGAGATTCACAGTCAAGAGTGGGAAATTCCCAGTGTGGAAAATGGGAACTTGCCTGTGAGGTTCCAGCAGGCAGCGTTCTCGCCTGTGAGCTCTGCTCCAAAGGGCTCCAGGGCGAGGACAAGGACAGTCTGTGGTGGGTAGGACGGGAACAACAAAACACAGGCACCGGGGATGCTGCAGTACCCTGCTTCCCACCGGCACTAGAGGGACTGGCAGCAGCAGTGAGTAAATGTGATACGTTAAGTGATAAATACCTTCAGATGGCGTAATCCCTTGGGTTCTGTTTCCTGAGGGTCTGCAGAACATCCTCGAGAAGCGATAGCCCCAAATCCACTTTGAAGGACAGGAAGGGATCGGAGGGGTCGGGAGGAGCGGTGCCGTTCTGGGAACCCGCCTCTGAGCTCCCGCAGTCTGTAGCCTGGTCCTTGTGGAACTGAGTTTGAGTGGCTTTGTGGTATTGGTGAGCAGCACCAGAAAAGGAGAGGTCGGAGTGAGAATCCGTGTGGTCGATGATGTTAGGGCAGCTGGAACTGTCCAGGTACAGCCGGGGAGGCTTGGGAGGTGCTTGTGCCTTGGCCAGGTTTTGCTCGCTCTGACACGACAGGTAATCGGACTTGTCCTTCAGATCCCTCAAGCATTCCCTCTTCTGGCACTGCCCGTCGCTGTTCTGGTTCAAGATGATGACCTGGTTGCCCAGTTTTTTGTGTCTCCTGAGTGAGAAACGTCTGAAGAACGTCGTGGACTTAATGGACCCTCTCCGCCAAGTATCCATGTCGGGGTAAGGCAGCGAGGAGAAGGAAACTGCTGACTCTTCTCAGCCAGGTGTGGGGCTTAAGCCGCAGGATCAGCAGCAAGGCACGCAACAGGAACAACCTCTTCCTCTCCTGTTCCTGTAGCTGGAAGGAAAACAGAGAAGCTGGTATTGCAGGAAATGCAAACCTCACACCACGTCCCCGCGGTAAGGAGCAGTTGGCCTGCCTCGGATACGAGGGAGTCTCCTTCTTCAGCGGGGAAGGAATGGCGGTGTCTGAGCTCGTTAAATCTGTGCTGCGGAAACAAGCTGGTGAAGAACAGCGAAGGCACACAGTCACCATGAGAACAGATTTAAACTAGCATCTAGAACAGAAGGGCACCTCGGTACCATGGTAACCAGCCACCTTCACCGCGAAGGGCACCGCATAAAAATCTCAGTGGGCGGTTAGGAAGGGAGACGGTGACTCAGTCCCGCCGAAGGAAGCCAGAGAAACGCAGCCGAGTGGGAATGTAAAAAGCAACAAAATGCAGATGTAAAAGACAAACTTGAGGAAAATGGAACGCCAGAGAGACTTACGCTGTGTCGGAGCAGCACCCGAGTCCGACAGGCGGTGAGGAGAAGCTGCTGAAGCGCTTGGAAAGCCGTGACCCCTGTGCGCAGCACTACGTCGGGATGTTGGAAGAAGCAAATCCAGGGACAGGTCAGCCAGGCTGGACCCAGAACGCTAAAAATCCCCAATGCCTCCTTCTCTTCATGTGCCTCCTGTCACTGCTTCCCAGGCTGCAGTTCCTTGTACGTACGTATTTGTTTTGAGCCAAGCCCTTGCTGAGTCAGCCACGTCAGAAACTGGGTTTTACGCTGTTGGTAATTGCCAGGATTGCAGGAAGTAGGTGTGTGGAGCGGCGAGGCACCAGCCCACGCTGCCTGGGGAGCAGCGAGCTCCCTCAGGGGCACCCAGATGGCTCGAGAACTGTCAGCGCAAAGGTCCACGTGTAGCCCACCTCAGATCAGAGCTCTCCTCACCTTAGCGCTCTCCCTTCTGCCGCTGCTTGTGGCTTTGTGTCGGCAGCACTCGCGAACGAGCCCAGAGAGAATCGCTTGTCTCTTAAATTTAAATCCGGAGTGCGAGGTCGTGATTCAGGTTTGTGTGGGTGGTTCACCTGCATGAGTCTCATCCAGGCGATTTCATCCAGCCGAGCAAACGACAGCGAGTGCCTGTGGTTAGTGGACGGGGAGCTTGCAGAAGCCTGACAGCTGATACGATCTGGTGCTTTCTCCGACACTGCAAATCTGCCCTGTGCAGCTCTGAAAGGTTATTTTGTTCATGCAGCTCCTAAAATGCCAATTACGGCGTAGTAGTATCTTAATTTCCCAGTCTAAGTTTCTCATCTGTTGTGGGCTTCTGTTTTGTCCTCGCAGCCAGACACTCTGCAGCTGCAGGAACCGCTTTGCCGGCACATGACGGCAAATCTGCATTTGCCCCATTTTCATGCAGTCTCATTTAGTTGTTCCATTCCCTTTCATCCCTTGTTTTTTTCTCTTTAAGATGTCCTTAAATCACGACTAAATCTGGTTCCTAGAAAAAGGAATGTCAGATTTTTTTCTTTTTTTCATTCACCTTCTGTCAAGATGCATTTATTTCTACCTGAACTGTCAAGCAAACGAGATGGATGTTTCCAAGCATGGCAGCGCTTTGAATACATCCGAAATAGCAAGGCCACCTACTAATGTTAAATGGCTTTTGACAGCCGAGTGCCAAAACCACCGCTTCGCTCTGCGATAGCAGCTGTCATCAGCTGCCCACGTTTATTAGGCAGAGTCTGCAATCAACTCGGGTGACGTGATGGGTGCTGCCACACGCAGCAGAAAAGCTCCAATCTCTACTCTGAGAAGTGGAACGTTCTTGTGTCAGGCTCGGGAACGTACCTGTTGGTTTTCTTTGGCAGCCTCTTTCATGACTAAACCACAGAAAGGTTGGGTTGTCTGTCCTTTTTGTGTGGTGGGGGTTTTTTTGTTGGTTTTTTTGTTTGTTTTTTTTTATGCCTTTATCCTTTATAACGGATGAAGTGTACGCTGGACTTTGCACCAGCATTGTACTGGCAGAGCAGGCTGATGTCACCCAACCTAAGGAGCTGCGGCGAGGTGAGCTGTGCTCCTCTGGGCACCCTCGCAGGGAGCAGGAGTAGCTCCAGCAGCCAGAGGACAATCCCTGCCCCGTGTCCGTCCCTTTCTCTGACTTTTTGGCATCGCCGCTGTGAGCAGGCTCCTCCTCAGACATCGAGGGGCTGAGGTGGGTCCAGATAAGGGCAACGAAGCTGGGAAGGGCCTGGAGGTGAACTCTGAAGGGAGCAGCTGAGGAATCTGGGGTTGTTTAGTCTGGAGAAGAGGAGACTGAGGGGAGACCTTGTTGCTTTCTGCAACTCCCTGACAGGAGGGTGGAGAGAGGTGGGGGTTGGTCTTCTCTCCCAAGTAGGACCAGAGAAAATAGGATCAAGCTGTACGGGGGGAGATTTAGATTAGACATGAGGATTTCTTTACTGAGTGGTGAGGCACTGGCACAGGCTGCCCAGGGCAGCGGTGGAGTTGCCATCCCTGGAGGTGTTCAAAAAATGTATAAACGTGGCGCCTGGGGACTTGGTTTAGTGGTCGTGGTGGTGCTGGGTAGATGGTTGGGCTTGATCTTAGAGATCTTTTCCAACCTTCATGATTCTGTGATTCTCTGCAGGCCAGGCAGCTTTTTGCCCCTTCCCTGATTGCTCTGGGGTTGTGCTGCCGGGACGGGAGCACCGCGTCTTGTGAGCGCGGTTGTGGGAGGGAGCTGTCCCTCACAGGCTGCGTTTGTTTTCTGCCCCCAGGCATCGGTGGTGTCAGAGCGGGACTACGAGAGCCTGGTGATGATGCGGATGCGCCAAGCGGCAGAGAGGCAGCAGCTCATCGAGCAGCTCAAGAGGGAAGACGAGGAAGAGTCTCACACCTGAGAGAGGACAGATTCTCCCCACCGTGTCATTCTTCATCTCCAAAGCTGTTTCTTAATTTAAGTCAATAAATCTCCTTTTTTAAAACTGTTGCAGGAAGACTCTCAGTGAGTGCAGCCCTTATCCCGTTCCACAGCGGGGGCGGGAAGAAAAGGCTTCATTAACTGTATTGACCTGTTGGTCTGTGTCGTCAGAGCAGCTGCCCAGTTGCAGAGGACGGGGTGTGAGGGCTGCTTTTGGGACTTCAAACTCTGGAGCTTCTTTTAATTCCTGAAAGCTTACTCAGGGGAGTCGTGGATCTGGAAGGCTTTGGCAACAACTCTTTAAAACAACCCACAGGAAGACATTGGTCTCTTCAGAGCAATGTTTATTGGCGTTACCCCTACAGCAGGATCGATGCACCGTCCCAAACAACCCAGCTGCTGTCACTTACAGAACCCAAACCCCAAATGGTGACAAGACCTTTCTGTGCTGCTCTAAGGCTGTTTCAGGAACAATGTGTCACGCTCAAGCGGCGCTCTCGGGACTGAATTCTGCTGCTGCTGCTGACCACGTCCCCATTTGGGAGAGGATGTGGCCTTGCCGCTGAGCCAAGGTAGGTTTAACACTTCCCGCTGGCGTTCCGGGGACGAGGCAGCGTGCCGCCTGTGCTGGGCCCCCCCTCCCTGTCCCTGTGGCCCGGGAGCGGGCATGCCCTCGCCTCACCACGTTCTGGGGTGGCCCTGAGGAGCAGGCAGGCAAGTCTATTATCTGAGCTTGCTCTAGTGCGTGCTAAACAGGAGATGATTAAAATGTAAAAAGATGGTGTATGCCAGACTGCTGCTGGGACGGGGGAGCGCGAGCCATCTGTCCTCCGTGCGTGATGTTGTAACGGCAACTTTCCCTTGGGTTGGGTTTTGTCTCTGCTCCCCCACACCCGAGCGCCTGGAGTCTTGGACGGAAAGGAATTGAGGGGACACGCTTGCTGTGGGTCCTGCGTGAGGTGGTCTCCAGCAGGATCTTTCCCGGCAGGAAGGTGCAGGTCTTCCTCGCTACTCCTTGTGGAGGCACCACACCAGGGTCTGGCCCACGCCGGTCATGCTCACCACGCGGTAACCACAGCTCTCCAGCTTGTTCAGGACTACCCGCGGCGCGTCGTTCACGTAGTACTCACAGCTGCAAGCAGGAAAGAGGAGAAATAAAACGAGGCGGAGGAGGAAGAGACAAGAATTTCCTTGTGGAAGTGATTCTGCCTCACTCCAAAACCCTTGTAAGACACTGTGGCGCCCACACCTGGCACCCCGTGGGTCACCGAGCAGGAAAACCAGAACCCCAGCCACCAATCCCGGGATCCAGCCTGTCCAAAAAGGAAAGGTCGTGGTGAATTGAAACATCATTCAGGGACCGGCTCCTTGGTGAACTGAAACCACAGCAGAGCGCCCGTGGCAGGGAGCAGGTGGAAAAAGGAGACTCTGCAAAGCGGGGAAGAAAGATTCGGGTGTTTCTAAGGAACGGCAAACCCATGTTTTGCCTACGTCACAGCTTGTCCCTAAGTTGGGTGTTTGGAAAGCCTGGGCTTGAAACTTGGGGTTTAGAGGGAAAAAAAAAAACAAAAAGAAAAAAGGACAGTGATCGCAGAGGGGGAGAGGAGCATGGGACAGGCACGGCCCGGGCTGGGGAAGCAGCAGAGCTGAAAGGGCAAGTGCGGGGTCTGCTCCCGGAGCCTTTCTGTGCTTCGGCCCAGTCCTGGTGGCTGCCGTATATATCCGAGCAGATGGGATCAGCTTCATCCCAGTTTGGCTCTCGGATGACTCACGGCGCCAGATAAGCTGATAATGATGGGCTGCAGGCTCCTTGGTGATCGTGTTTGGGCACCTTAACAAAAGACTGTTCTGATTTTCATACTAATAACAATAAAAGAAGACCAAAAAGCATTTGCAAAGTTCCTCTCGCCAAGATTGCAGAACATTGCTGGTGAGTGCTTTTCAAGCGTGAAATAACACCAAGATGTGAAGGCTTTCTTCCCCAGTTTCTCAAGACAAACTATACTTTGCTGTAATTATAGATGTGGCATAAAGATAATAGGTATTATTATAAGTGCCTTTGAACTTAATGCTTTCTCTAAGAGGCTTGCCACATACTCTTCAGATTCACATGTGGGAGTTGGTAAATATTGTTCCTATTATGCAAAGGAAGGAGCTGAGGCAGGGGCTGTTTGTTTAGGAACCTGGAAAAAAAAAAATAAATAAAAGAGTGGCTGAACTAAAAGCAGAAGTAAAGCCGCGTTGCCCAGGGCTTTAAGCGCAGCTCCCTATCGCGTGGAACAAAGCGTTGCGCGCTGAGCGTATCAGATCAGCCACGTTGCCATGTGTGACCTGGCTGGGGTGGCTGGGAGCACTCGCAAAGCCTTTTTCCTCCCACCTCAACACCAGCAGGGACAGAGAAGTCACCTGAGATCAAGGTTTCTGTACTTGCACGTGGCCAAGCCCGTGACCTCACTGGCCCCGCTCCTGTGGTGGGCCGAAACCTGAGCGCCCAGCAGAGCGTGCTCATTTCAAACACAACTGGTGTGGCCTTTGCCTTTTAAATTTATTGATTCATTTTAAGACGGATCTAGACAGAGGATATATAAGCCTGAACTAGCACATGCCATGTTGGGGCAAAGAAACACGCATTGTCCCCAGGCAAAGAAAATATCTCTGCTTGTCCTCAACCCTTTTTTTTCCTCTTTGCTGGGGTGGGGGTGCCCTCCCCAGGCAGCTCATTGTGGCGCTTCCTGGCGATCCTGCCCTCCTCTCCGTTTGCCTTGCTCGAGGATGGGCTTTGCCTGCCCTGGGGAGCAGCTGAATGGGAGCAGCAGCAGGTGCCTCGGACCTCGGCTCCCAAAGGTGATGGAGAGGCATCGTCTGTCATTTCAGACCGAGGAGCACTGATCGCCTTTGCAGTTAGAGGGGATGCTGGGGACGGTGCCCGGCACTCATCCATGCTGGTGAGCCCAGAAGAATCCCTGTTCCTGCAGCAGCCAGGGGTCAGGGGTTTGATCCTTGGCCCCGCGCTGACAACCAGGGACGTGTGGGCTGGGGCAGAGCTGGCTGCCCCCGGGGTTCTGCCCCTGCCCCGCGGGCCAGCGGCTGATGGAACGCAAGGACGAGCCATTCACAGGCGCTAGCGCAGAGCTGCGTAACAGGATCAGCGCTCTCCCTCATTAGAGGTAATTAAGCACTTCACAGGTACCATTACAGTGCCCCAGCAGGTCTGTTCCCCAGGTCACGTTTAAGGTGTCGGGGCCCACGGTGCTACAGGAAGGGCGAGATTTGCAGCATCCCACAACCAGGCTCGCTGCTCGTGCGGCTTCACAGCCGGGTGAATGGAAAATCCCGCTGGGCCGTGGTGCACAGGCAGGAGCTCTTGTCCCCACTTGGATTTTTGACTGCGTGGGGGCCGGGGCTCGCCCCACTGGCATCCCGCCG